AATGCTGTCATTAAGCAGAATGTTTCATAACATCATCTTAGGAAAGCTGCGAAGCGCTGATTGCGACACATAGAACTGGTGGCCGTAAGCAGCGTGATGCTGTACCTGACCCGTTTTTATTGGAGTCAAGGAAAGGACGTCAAATTCACACCGCTGACCAAAGGACAATAACAGCGGCAGCTAGCAGCTAGCAGCTAGCAGCTGTTCTGGTACAGAGGGCTCGTATCAACTAGTAGCCGAGTCCGAGATCGCCCGGAAGATAATTCGACAAGACTAAACACCGCCGATCAAATAGCAATTCAAAACAACAACCAACTAACTGCACCGTACGACGCCGCTCTGACGCCCCTCTTCAAACCACATTTTCGGCTATGCCTAAAATAAGATTTTGAATCCGGGCTGAGCAGCTAGCCAGACCAAGAACCGGGACGAGAAACCCAAAACGCGTTCGTTACCGTACAACTAACATGAACAAGGCACCGGGGACGTGGACATATGGTTGGGGATAAGAGACGCCCAGCCTGCCTGCCAGAGCCCGCATGCTACTTCGTGCGGCCCTTCCGGGCTACCGTGCTCTTCCGCATTGGTAACCCGCAGGCAGCCGACGGCCTCGCTTGGGTTACTTTGGCCCCACGCCTAACCCAGCGAAACATCCCCCTCACCCAGTCGCGTCACATACGCTCCACCACTGTCCGCCTCACAGCAACGGACCGGCGGATGTAGACCAGTACCGCATCAGACCTCCACCGCCCGTGCGCCTTAATCTCCTCCAGACCCACCCCCGCATTGGCAGCCGCGGTGGCCCCCCCCTTGCGCAAGCTGTGGGCCGATATTCTGGCGAGATCTAGCCTCAACTCCGGCTCGAACCCCTGCAACTCCCCCAGCAACGCATGCAGCCTAATAGTGAAATCCCCACGCCGCCACGCCGTCCCCTGCTTGCCCGGCCCGGTGATTCCCCGTACGAAGAGCGGGGAGTGACCCTCGGCCGTTCCCACGCACTCCAGGTGCCGCTGTACTATGCGAGCTATGGGGATGCCGCTCTGGGTGAATGCTGCCAGGCACACCAACGTCCCCTCTCCCTTCTGGTCCGTCTTGCTACGTACGATCCGCAGCCCCACACCCCCTCCCGGCAACTCCTCAACGCAGCCCACTGTCAGGGCCGCCAACTCGCTCCTCCTGAGCATTCCGAAAAACCCCAAAACCAACCAGCAGGCGTCCTGTGTGAACTCCGACGCCCTCCGCGGCTCCGCATTTGCCCTGCACCGTAGCCACGCCACGAGCAGCCTCAACACCCCCAGGGGCAAGGGTGCCTTTGCCATGGACGGTGCCGACTCCGGCCCCGCAGCCGACCTTCGCAACGCTTGGCCCAGGGTTCGCTTGACCAGCGGGTCGCGGCTGATATATGCCTCTGGCGAGACTCCCATGAACCGCTGCCAGTCCGCCAGGGCGCTCAGCGTGCCGGTGACGGAGGAGGTCGCGTACCGGCCAACTGCATGCGCTATGAACAGACACACCAGGTCCCGATTGAGGTCAGACCCACGCTGGCGGGGCAGGGCGTCCGCCTCCGGCACCCCTGCGACCTCCGTACAGAAGCGCACAAAGCGCCGCCGCCCCGACTCGTAAGTGACCGAAGAGCTGTCTGCGACCGCGCTGCCGTGCAACTCCACGGCTAGCCGTGCTAGTTCCTCCGTAACACTCCCCTGGGCCACTGATCCGATACCCGCCGCCGCAAGCAAGCAAGAGGTGCAGCGGTACCAACCACCGGGGTAGGCGCCTGGGGCGATTCCAAGGCACCGACGATGGGTCGAGCAGGGGCAGGCCTCACAGCGCAGATCCCCAGCTCCACAGCGCCGCCCGCAGACGGAGCAGCTTCCCTCCTCCTGGGGACCGCCTGCCGAAACTGGCCAAGGGGGGGATGCGGGGCAATCTAATTGAGCCTGAGCACAATCAAGTCGTACTCGCTGGGCGCGGCCTCGGCCCCCCACGGAAAAGGCAATGCAGGCTATAACTCAATTGAGTGAAGATGGAAATTGATTTATAACAAGAGGTTTTGTTATGGTCGCGAAATGTGCGATCTCAGCAACTCACTTCCCAGGCAGGTCTAGGAAGGAAACGTCGAGTCGACACACATCCTGTCTGACAAGACAAAATTGTGGTAGGGGGCTGGCAAGGAGATGCCTGTGTCTCCTTCAAAGGCGCATGCCTTAAGCTCATTTTTCTACTGCTATTTATATCATACATATACGTGCGTTAGTAAAAGAGGATACGGCTACTGTGCAGCTGCGCGGCTGGTGAGTAGTTGCGTTTGGGGGCCCACTACGTACTACATTAGTCAGAGTGCACGACGCGACTACCGCTAAATCACGGTTGAGCTGCGTGGCTGAAGGAGCTGCCGGCTGCTGCCCTAAGGCACTGATTGGGTCGGTAACCCATGGGTTACCCATCGGTTACCCACCTTCAACCCCCCGTAGCCCATTGGTAACCCCCTTTCAAGTTCCTGCCCAGCAGGAGGGGTAACACGGCTTGCCCTGGACTATGGACATGGGCCTATAGGCTACTCATCTTATTTGCTGCGCACTTCGTGAATTCATTTTAGTACATTTCTGTAAATGTACATGTTACATGTACATGTTGAACCTACAGTATCCCGGTAGCTCGGGAAGCATCGTTCGCCAATATGAATTAAAGGCCTCTAACGCTGCAGGAAAATTTTAGTAGAAGATTTAGAACTATGCGAGGTATGCGAAAGGTCGCGTATAGCGGGGTCAACAGAGATAGAAGGACCACCGAATATAGAGGAATATCGGAGCCCTGTGTCAAGCAAAATCAGCATTTGCAAAACACGTGCGAGTAAATTGAGGAGAAACTGGTCTTATGGGCATCATCATCGAAGCGATTACTTACAAACGTTACATGGTGTTTCCACTTGGCCGAACATTAACAATAAGTTTGGAAATCCGGGCACCTGGCGCACCAAATCGCCCATGCGAAAAAAAATTAGATAAATAATACTAAATGGAAGTAAAAATCCTTCAAAAAATTCGCGACAAAGGCCCCTGCACGCGAAAAGCCGAAGGGCCCAGTGGACACGTCTCGTATACTTAAACCAATAGTCCCAGACCCGTTGAAAGCTTAAATGCTGAAGGGTGCGGTAGCCCAACAGATATCTGCGGTGTCCTGTAGCACACCGCGCTGCCTCTGGAAATCAATCTGATTGGAATAAGTCTGATAACAAGTCGATTGCACAGCGGCGCCGTCGATCACTCAAAAAATTATCAAGAAATTTAAAAACGCAGGAACAGCAACTTGACAACAATCAACTCGACAATAAACGTCCGTCCAAAGCCCAATAGAAATGCACATAGAAATAGAAATGCACATAGTATAGAACCAACAGTGCTGCAAGCCGCCAACGCCCGAGGTCCTTCCTTGTTAAATTTCCGGTATAATCCGACCTTGAAATTGCAATACAGAATGGACAACAGTTACACAGAGTACCTGGCAAGAGCGCGGGGCAATCCAGATGGTCCTATCACTGCTGGCATGCTCCTAGCCCTCTACGGGGACTTCAGGAAGCTCGGAGACCAGGTGCTCGATCTAAAAAATTAGCAACAACTCGCACGCGTGGAGATCATCGACCTCCAGGGCCGGGTCAGCAAACTGGAAACCGACCCGAGCGGCATCACGATGGATGCCCGCGGACTGATCAGCAGCAATGGGTTCTTCTATTGGGACAGCGTCGTTATCACGACCGACAAGAACAAGGATGAGGGCAGCGTCCGGGCCTGCCTCGCCGAGCTGGGGCTACATGTGCTTGATATCGGCCTCCTCACTCGCACTGAGAGGCCAGATCGCAGCACAAAGAGCTGGCTTATTGATATCCGGTGGAAGGACCGGGTAAAATTCTTCAAAGCCGCACCTGACCTGAAAAGGTTGGGTCTCCGGGTAGATGACTCGCTCACCAAGGAAGGGCGGGCGGAAAGATCCAGGCTGCGGCCCATGTGGCAGGTGATAAAAGCGAAGCAGTGGATCCCCATGTGGCGCAACGGGGCCGAACTGTCTTATAAGAAGAGCCCGAACAGGAGTGCACCGGTGCCCTACCCAAGCCAGTACAGTGATGACGACAGCGACAGTGGAGAGGGTGGAGAGATGGATGCCGAGAATGATGACGACGTAAATATGCCTTTCAGGGGCTGTGCCGGCGGAGTTGGCGTTACTGGTAGCGGTAGTGCCGCCGCCGGTGGCAGCATGCCGCCACCACCACCACTGCCACCACCACCACCACCTCCCAAGCCAATGGCACCGTCACCAGCCGCCTCACCACCAACCCCGCCGTCTTACAGACAGCAGCTGGGGGTGAAGAATCGTGAAGCACCCGTGGCTTCGCTGAGTGCCGTCAAAGCAAAAGGCGGCAAACACCCACGGACAGAACCAGTATACGGGCTCATGTACTCAGCATTACCTAGTAGGCTCGACTGGTCCCACAACCAGGCGCCAGCACCCCGTGACCCGAGGCCCAGCTCTGCCGCCGGCCGCACCATGGATATTGACGGCTTCGTTACCACCTCAGGGCGGAGGAGTTCCAAGGACCAGGATCGAGACGGCGATGGTGGGACTGGCCAGCAAGGTCTGGGGGTCGATGAAGGAACAACTAGAAGCAGGGAGGGACGTGCAGGGCCCAGCAGCAGAGCTGATCACCAACCTTATGACCAGGCTGGCAAGCCCACTAGTGCTAACCGGTTTGCACGCCTACCCGCTGAAGTGGATGACTAGGATAGCACGAGCCGAGGGCCAAGAGGGTTGAAGGTTTTGTTGTGGAATGTCCATGGGTTGTTGGAGGCAGGAGTTTTTAAGCTTGACCATGCCGGAATTAAGTCTTTTGTGACTAGTCATGACCTCATCATTGTTACCGAAGCACACCTAACGGATGCAGTGCCAGACAGCGACGTGTCCCTCGAAGGTTTCCGCTTGATGCGGGTGCAGAGGTCAGGAGACGCCGTACACGCTAGCCCATGGGAGGC